TTTTTTTGATTAATAATTTGTTTCAAATTGTAACAAATTGCAGAAAATTTTCCTTTTTTTTCCTCCCGATCGTTAACATTATTTTTATTTATCAGGAATCACTGATAACGAATTTCGATTAGTTCAAGGTCACAAGTTATTTTTTACTCATATCAAAACATTAATTAATAATTATTTTAATAATTAAAAAATTTTTCAACGTACATCTTTTTTTTTTATTTACTTATTTATTTTTAATCATTTAAAATTTTTTTTCATCAACATCCTCTAGCGGAATTTTCATGAATTAATAAAATTAAATAAATTTATTTTTGTGACGTATTCGTTTCGTCACGTTCGAAAATTTTTATGTACGTTCGCGATGAAAAAAAATTTTCAAATTAAAATAAAATTTTATTTATTAAAAGAATTTTAGTTTAGAAAAAAAAGAGAAAGAGGGAAATAGAGAGAGAGAGAGAGAGAGAGAGAGAGAGAGAGAGAAAGAGAGTAAAAAAAACATTTTAATACGAAATGATAAATAATATTATTAAAAATATATCTTCTTTTTATTTTTCATTTTAATTTTATACTGAATTATTATTAAATTCATCGAATGTTTTTATTATTATTATTATTATTATTAAAGTATAAACTTAATTCAAAAAATTAATTTAATTAAATTGTGAATTTTAATATAAGGAAGAACAAAAAAAAAAAAAAAAAACGAAACCCCCATTTAATTACCCCAGATTTTAATTTTTTATTTACGGGTCATTAATTACGAATAAAGGTAATAATAAAAAACATTTTATTTTATTTTTAATTAATAAAATTTATTAAAAATGAATAATTAAATATTTTACTTATTGTTACGAATCGTTAATTAATATAAAATTTCATCCATGTTATTATAAAATCGAAATTTTTTTTTTTTTTTGGGGGGGGGGGGGGCATTTAAACTAATGAAGAGTAATTAAAAGTTTTTTTTTTTTTTTAATTGTAATATTAAAATTAATTGTTTTTTTTTTATTAA